CTTGCTTTGTTTTTAGCATGTTGTAGCAATAAAGGATGGGTCAATAAGTGTAGGATGCTGACTTATTTGTAATGTGCTGGTGGTTTTCTATCTGTATTAACAGCTACCTTCTCAGGTGGAGCCATCAGCCTCAGTTCATCATAAAGAATGCACATTTTCTTAAAGCTAAAGGTCAAAGACCCTTCCAGGACTGCCTGGTAATGTCCCTAGCATTGCTCACTCTTGACCATGTAGTGACATTAACTAACAAGTGTTTATGGAGGGCCTGCTCTGTGGCTATCATTGTCCTGACTCTAGCTAAAGTGCAGGTGAACAGGGTGTGTGCCTGTCTTCCTGTCAGAGTTAATGAACGATCTGAAGGCAAAACACAGTAGGGCAAACACTTTAGTGTCAAGTTGCCATAGGACCTTGTTTTATCCCTTTGCTCTGGGCCCTTGTCTGACCAAGAGGATTTATGGCATCAGAAACACATAATAAAGCTGTTAGAATATAAACAAGAAACAGAAATAAAGACTGGGGAATGTATAAGTTAGAATGCCAAGAACAGAAGAAGAAAAACTCATAGCTTCACGAGTTATGGAGATCCACTTGAACTCAACTTCAAGTTTAGTGTTAAGTGTCCTGGCAGCCATATTGAGAAGGGAAATATGGTTAGTTACAAAGTGTTTATTGTCAGAAAGCAAAGACGACCAGTTCCTCAGGGAAGGAAAGGCTTTCAAAACATTTGGCTTGTGAGAGAATGTCTCATATCTAGTTTCATACCGTCTTTGACAATATTCCTACAGGACTGGGAAAGTGGACATTATTTATTTATTTATTTATTTATTTATTTTTCTTATTTTATGTGTTGATCCCAGTTCCCTCTTCCTTCCTCTCTCCCTCCCTTTTTCCCTCCCTCCCATGCCCCCTCACCCTCCCATCCCATTCTCCCCTCCCCCACTCCACAGGGAGGGTGGTGCCTTCCAGGAGGGGTCAACAAAATCTGTCAAGTCATTTGGAGTAGGGACTAGGACTTCTCTCCTGTCTCTAGGTTAAGGGAGTATCCCTCCATGGGGGATGTGTCCCCAAAGTCCTTTTGTACACCAGGGATACATCCTGGTTCCACTGTCAGAGGTCCCTTAGACTGCTCAGGCCTTCTAACTGAGACCCACATTCAGGGGGTCTGAGTCAGTCCCATGCTGGATTCCCAGCTATCAGTCTGGGGGCCCATTAGCTTCTCCTTGTTCAGGTAAGCTGTCTCTATGTGTTTCTGCAGCCTGGTCTTGTCCTCCCTCTCTGCATCTGGATTCCAGTTCAGCTCAGTGTTTACTAGTGGGTGTTTGCTTCTGCTTCCATCAGCTACTAGATGAGGGCTCTATGATGGTAGATAAGTTAGTCATCAATCTCATTTTCAGGGAAAGGCATTTATGGTAGCTTTTCCACTGTTGCTCAGATTGTTAGTTGGGGTCAGTCTTGTAGGTCTCTGGACATTTCTCTAGAGTCAGTTTTCTCTTCAAACCTATAATGGCTCCCTCTTTTATGGTATCTCTCTCTTTTTTTCTCTCATCTATTCCTCCCCTGACTCAATCTTCCTAGTCCCACGTGCTTTCTTCTCCTCCCCTTCTCTTTCTCCTAGCTCCCTCTCCACTCACTGCCCTCCACCCTCTCTTGCTCTGAGGATCTTATTCCTTTCCCCTCCTGTGAGGGACCTTGTATGAATCTCTTAGATTCCTCCTTGTATCCTAGTTTCCCTGGCAGTGTGAACTATAGGCTGGTGATCCTTTCTCTATGTCTAAAATCCATATATGAGTTGAGTACATACCATGTTCCTCTTTTTGTGACCGGGTTACCTCATTCAGGGTGGTTTTCTTCAAGTTCCATCCATTTGCCTGCTAATTTCAAGATTCTATTATAAGACGGTGTGGTATAACAGCTTGCACTAAGAGTGAGAATGGCAAATTAAAATTCCATTCATTAAATGGTGGTCAGAAGTCAACAGTTTTGGGTCAGATATAGTCCAGATGCATCTATAGCTAGAATTTGAACACCTGGGAAATGAATGGGTTGAATCCCCTGATGACAATCTTCATCACCATCATTTCTCCCTACTGAAATTTTGATGTGGCAGGTGGCCGCATTTTCTATGTTCTACTATAAGGCTGAAGGGTAAATATTCCAGGCTGTGCATGATGTAACTGTTTATACCCAAGGCCAGCAAACGCTTTTGTAGAGAACTGTATAATACATATTTTAGGCCTTATGCACTAGAAGATCTCTGCCACAATTATTAGTCTCTAAAACTATACTAGGAAAATAGCTATAGGCTGCCCCTAACTGAATGGACATAGTTGTGTCCCAATAAAACTTGATTTAAAACAAAACAAACAGAGGGTGTGACAAGTTTCACCAACCTTTGAAATAACCTGAACAACAACAAACGAAGGAAAAGCATATTGTCATTGTTGTTGTAGTGAAATTAAGGAATGATAAGAAGCTTGACAACTCTTGTTTAATAGTGACTTTGGCTTTACTGTTTAGTTCATAGTAATGGTGGATTCATGCTAGAAAAAAAAAACATGGTTCATGTATGGACTGCAAAGTCATTACGCTCATTGAAGAAACATGCAGATCTCAAAGAAATCAATCTAACTCTTCACATGTAGAAGTGGTACTCACCAGACATGGTATATTAGTTCTGTTGCTTGTCCCCAAGACCAAATACCTGAGAAGAAGTGACTGAAGAGGGGGATGGTTAATTTTGTATCACAATTGCTATAGATACAATTCATCCTGGAGGAGAAAGCCTGGCAGCAGGAATATAAGGCTACATTCTGGGTAATGCTGATGCTTCGATGTCTTTTCTCATTTTAACTCATTGGGGTTAAAGCCAAAAGATGGTGTTCCCCACATGCAGAGTGGGTCTTTCCTCCTCAGAGGGATCATTTCTGGAAACAATCTTACAGATGCACCCTCAGAAATGTGTCTCTTAGGTAATTCTAAGTGAAGTCAACTACAGATATTAACCTTACACATAGATACAACATTGCAATGTAGAGGTAGGGTTGGTCTGAAAAGTCATGCATTCCATGCAGAGAACTGTGATGTTGATTGCCTGTAAGGGCAAACAGCCCTAATTCTCAATTAAGCTCTTACAGTTGGTGTTCTAGAAGGAGAGATGATGGTAAGTTATTCTCAGTAGGCAGATACACACCATTCACTCAGATATCATTTCTTCAAACTATCTTCTTTTCTGCTAATTACTAGTGATCTTCTACGTGTATAGCATTCAGTATAAACAGTGGAGGTGTGATTTCTTTTCTAAAGGCTTAGTTATGAACTTACTACAAATTGATGATTCAACATGACTTGAAATCCTATATACTTTCCACTGGCCATAAACAAACCCAGGAGATTCATTGTGTGGACGGGATCTGTCTCAAAGACTTGAGTCTGGGAAAGGACCAGAAAAGGTGGCTCCCAAGTTCTTTGACACTTGCAAATACAGGGTGTGTTAAAGTACCTCAGTCTTACAACTGCTTTAATCAACTTATAAACAAGCCATGCATAATCCTGGGAGTGATGAAGTGTGTACTGGTGTGGCCCATATTGGGACAATGAGAATGTATGCTTCAACATCATTAACAGTTTTGAAAGCATTGGTGAAAACTTAACTGTGAGCACATCTGTGGGACTTCCAGGGGCTTGTGATGGGTTTGACCATCATTTGCAGCAGGCATTTTTGGATTCTCCATGTTCACTGTTCATTTTGTGTGCTCCATTTGGGATTTGTTGACCATTCACCTCTTTGGTGAAAAAAAGGTAGCTAGCTAAGAAATGAGATTTCGATGATTGTGATGGATGACTCCAGGCTTATGAAGGACAAACATTGTGTCTTTACCTTCATATACCTAGGACATAGCCTCACACTTATTCCATGGGGCCACTTTCATATGTTAACCCAATGAGTAAAAACTAGTACTTGGTTTGCCAACACAGGAGCTGATTCCATTGGTTTGTGTTTAACAACTCTAAACAAAACAAAAAGCTTTGTGTTTGGGCATTGGGACAAACCTTTAAAAAGCAGAAAACCCTGCAGGTGCCCTCCTGTATCAAATGTGGTCAGGTCTGGAGTGGGGTACGGGAACTGGCATTCAGATTCACACAGCAGGAATGGTATGATTTTAGTAATACTGGTTCGTAGCCAGCAGGACTGGAGGCCAGGGACATTTCCATGATAAATTACTTAGGGAAAATGTCTGATATCGAGGTCATCTAAGACATCTACTTTTTTTTTTGACATCTACTTTTTATGAGTGGTGACTGGTAGATAATCTGTGGCTTCCTCTTCCTTTCTCTGGTCTCTCTAATGCTTTACTGATCAGACTTGCTTTGTTAGCTGCCTCAGAATGTGTTTTCATCAGTAGTCTGAATTATGATTTTATGGTCATAAAACTATGGCCATATTTTAATTATTCCTGTCATGAATGAGGAAAAAATACATAGAGTAGGGATGTTCTAAGCTAAAAACAAATGTAATATTTGGTAGCACTTAATTCACCTGGCCACAGCTCTGTCTTGACTCCAACCTGGTGCAAAGCATTTCTAGGTAAGAAAGAAAAGGGCATCTAAGATGATGAGTTTGTTCTCAGCAACACTCACAGTCCAGAGGAGGGGGCAGCTCTGAGCACTTCATTGTGGGGGTTCTAAGCCTACCAGTATATGGGGTAGTCTGAACCTTAGAATGAGAAACAGTTACTTAGCATGTTGGTGCACACATGTAATACCAGCTCTTGTAAGGTAGGGGACAGTGTCTTGAGTTCAAGGCCCACTTGGGTGACATGACAAGACTCAATATAAAAAGGGGGAATGGGTGGGGAGGGAAGGAACAGAATGTTTCTTATTGCAATTGATAATTTGCTTAATGCCTATTGCATTCAGATTTATAAGGGTTACCCCATGGAGTTGAGAACATTTATTAAATGCTATCCTTTCCCAGTTGTCTCCACTGTTTTTTGCACTAGACCAACAAAATCTGAGCATGTGGTCATCGTTTGGCTCTTCAACATCTGCCAACATTAGCCACAAAGCAACAGAAATAGAACCAAGAAACAAATGGGTAACCTCAAATAGCTTTGGGGTTTACCGCAATGTTGTGCTTGAGTGAGCATCCAGAGCCAACTAGAAATTGGCATGGCCGTGGTGGGCTTTGGTGTGTAGAACTGCTCTGATTTCTGCAACATGTATTGATTATCACTGCCCGTGTATTTACTTGTTCACTGAGCCATTTGGGATGTTCTTGGTCTCAGGGCCTGAGGATCATTTTCTCCGATGCATCACGGCTCATATTCCGGCTCAGTTCCTCCAGCGGTGTGCGGGCCACCATCAGACTGTATGCAGAGAGCTACGAGAGGGATCCCAGCGGTCACGACCAGGAACCACAGGTACACGAGCACAGTTCTGCTCTTGGCATTTTGTGTCTTCCCCTAAAGCTCCCATGGACCTTCAATGAAAAGACCTGTTGATAGCTTCAGTGGGAGGTGAGCTGTGTGTGACCTCACATTTAATTCACTTAGCAAAGTGCTTGAGGCAGAAGAACTCTCCAGGATCTAGGATGATTTCAGGCAAGGATTTCCCAAATAATTCACCTCTCTTCAGGGTCCTGAGGCTTAATGTGAATTCCAATAAGAAAAGGTGGATGCGGATTGTATAATAAGAGAGTCAATTTTTTCAGATCCTTTATTGTGTTCATGTAAATTACTAATCTTTAGGTGTTAGGAAAACCCTGGATTGGACCATGACATTGAGGTAATCATACAAATACCACTCTGGGCTTCCTCTCTCAGACTGAGGAAACACAAATATTTTAGCCATAGACCACTGTACTTCTACAATTACTAACACAGCAGATAGACTACAAAAGAACCCACTCCACCATTGGGTGCATCTTGCTGCATTGCTGGGTGCTCTGGTCTCCTTGGTCTCTCTTCTCATATGGTTTTGCAGGTGCTTCCCTAGGTTAAAATGTTAGCTGTGCCTCTTTCTGGAAAGGCGGAGGGGCAGAAATCCATTTCTCATTGCACAGCTGTCCAGGATTTCCAGGTCCATTCTGTCTCCCTGGAGCAATCCCTTTCTCTTTCAGTAATGTAGCTTGGTTGTGCTGGTTTCTTTGGAGAATCTCAAAGAACTTGGTCATCACTGTATTGTGGATTCTTCTACCTGCTCTCATAACTCAAAAACCCATGGAAACAATATCATTCCACACGGGGAAGTAGACGCCTGAGGAGTCTTTCTTTGGGTCACCAGGGCATGAGTAGACAGTGCCCGTGATCAGCATTTAGTCCTAGTCTTTCCTCTCAGGAGCTGTCCATGCAGGCATGGGTCATCCTCTGCCAAAATAAATTGTTAGTGAGTACATTTCACCCAAGATAGTACCAAGCCATGCAAGAACTAGATGGAGACTTACTTTCTCTTTCCGAATAAAACTGTCTTCTATAGCTCATGGTGAGAGCCGAGATGAAAGGCAGGAGCTCTGCGCCGGGTGAGGAATGACATCTCTGGCCTCCCCCAGCTCTGAGTCACTTTGACTTGAGACTATTTTTTTCTTAGCATTCTTTCCCCAATTTGCACAGCACAAGTGGTTAAGACACTTGCTTATTTTTATTTACCTCCCTGGCTGGACTTCACCCAGGCCATTAGGCCTTCTATACACAAATGCATCTCTGAAGTGGTCCATGAAAGCAAATGTCACTTTTGAAAAAAAGGTTTTCTTGGAAGCTACAAAAAATTCTCCACAGGCCTGCTTTTAGATGGTTGTGTGGGCAAATAAAACATGAACAGTGCTTGTTTTAGTTCCCATTACTGCATATTTTCCACCCTGTTGGTGTACTAGTTTGCCAGTCTGAATGGCAGAGGAATCCCTTCCTTAATGATCATAGTCATTTTCTTCTTCTCTAATACAAGAGTCTTTCCCTAGACCCAACTAGACGGGACTCAGTACATTCATTTTAGCTCATGATCTAGCTAAAAGTTCTGTATTAAAATAGAATTCCTGATTAAAATAGCCTGTATCGTCAACCCACTCACTGAAGCCCTAGTGCATAATACATTGGGATCATGATATAATAGTCAACATTTAGAAGAATTCTAACCCCATAGGGAAAAATGGATGGAGGAGGGAGTTGGGAGGGAGGAGAGGAAAAGGGGGGGAAGGGAGAAGGGAGGGAGGCATGGCTGGCTTACCCACATTAATCACTGTTCAGTTTCATCTAGGCCCTTCCATTGGAGATTTTAAGTCTTTTGGGAACTGTTGCTTTGTGGCACAAACGGCTTTTTCTTCTAAGAACCCAGAGAGGATGAAGTTTGGGTTAGCCATTAATAGAGATAAGGCATGCCTCTGAAGCTGCTGGGTCACTACTGACAAGCAGCTTAACATGCAAGGACTGGATTGTACTTTCTTAGATCCTAATTCAGCTTTGTTGCCTAGATTACAGAGAACACACTGCTGTGCGTGTGAGCACACACACACACACACACACACGTTAAAGAACTCTCTAATCTATAACTCTGTTAAGTAATTGTGTATGTTTTATCCACCTCAATGCAGTAGTCATTTACATTCTAGTTATTTTGTGTGAGGACAGAGTTCCCTTCAAATGCCGTGCTGGTGTCTGGCTATTTCACTTTGCACGTGGATTGTTTCTTTCTCAGACATTTAAAGCACACGAGGGAGGCAGCTTTAAACATTTACACTTGTTACCTTGAGGAGGAAGTGTTCAAGTTAGCCTCATGACCTAACAAGGAAACCCTATGACTTACATGGGTACTACTCTCGACCCCTACAGCTAGAGTTTGGCTGTGTCCTTTTGTAGAGGTGATCATGCCATTTAAGTTGATGTCAAGTAACCACTTTGCTGACACAGACTGTTTTAAAATATTCTCTCAATACTTCCCTCTGAGTTGGTGGTGAATGGAGGAAAGGCATGGGCAAGGCCCCAGGAAGGCTTGTGTTTGCACAGCTTTGGATGAGAGAGAAAACCTCCCCAACAGCAGATGCTGAAAATTCTCACCATTTTCAAATACAGTTACTTTAATTTTTATTGCCGTCAGGCCCCCAATGAGCTCTCAAGCCAGCTGGTGGAAATTTGTAAAAAGGGTCGAGCCAGGATGGATTAAATTCATTGGTAACTAGAAATGGGAGGTGGTTTCCATATTCTTTCCATCCCACTTCCCAGCAGGGTTGCTAAATTAACATTGTGTTCACTCTATTCCCCTGTCCACAGGAGCCCCATGGGTGGAGCAGCCAACACACAACACACAGTCAAAGGGAAAAGGAAGGTTTTATTAGGGGCTAGGTTATCAGAGAATGAAGGTAGCTTGGGACTAAGATGGAACCACACCCCCCAGCCCACTCCAGTCTTGGGAAGGAGCCATTTCTCTTGAACCTTCCTTGAAACTGATGAATTGATGGATTTTTGATAAGCTGCATCTAGCAGATATGTGTCTAAAACACCAGGGATCTTTTTATGTTTAATTCATATGTCACCCAAACCCATCTGCCATTTTGTTTTAATAGTTCTTATAATAATTTATAGTTCAAAAATAGACAATATAGAGTCATTTTGTTGTCTGTGGAGAGAATGGACTGGCCAGGGCACTTCAGAGAGTGAAGGTATCTATTAATACTTCTTTTGCGATTGGATCCTACCAACTGGCCATGTGGTTATTCTAGCAACATGCTTTCATCCTAATGTGAAACTGTGTGGCTTCTTAGATGGGGACTTCTGAGGAAGAGGGGAAGTAGTGAAGAGTTAGATCAGAGAGGTTTAGCCTAGACTGCCATCAGAACTACTTGAATGTTTCTACAGAAACATCCATAGCAGGTCCCTGTTCAGAGATTCAGTGGCCCCATGTAAGACTTGTGATTTGTCGAGATGCTTCTAATGTTGATTTTCCCCCTAATGTATCTGCAATGTGCCAGGCTCAGTTACAGGTATTCATATACACTGTTATTTATCCCTCACTTCACTGCTCACAGGGTAGGATTATCATTAGTTTTGCAAAAGAGAAAACTGAGATAGGGAGTTGTTCTGATCCATGGGGCAAGTTGTTTCTGGAGTGGTTTTGTTTTAAGAAAACTTCCAACCAGATTAATGGTTAAGTCCAAAGGGAGGAGGATTTCTCACCTGAGCTAGAATTCAGTGCTGCCTCTGGAAGTTTAGTTTGGTTTTGTTATCAAGAGGGCTGCCTTCAAGGGCTGGAGGGACATCGGCTCAGCAGTGAAGAGGTTTATCATTCCGCACTTATCAGTACTTTGTGCCTCTAAGCATCATTCTGTCCCAAGAACTTAGTGAAATTCAGTTTGATTCCTTTTACCTGACCTCAGGAAATGGCTCCACTTGACTGTTACTGGTCTGTCCCAGAAGGTTCAGCTCAGGGATGACTAAGGAAGAAATATTTAGGGCCAGGTTGGGGGGGGATGAGCTGAGGAATTTCTGTAACCCTCTAACACCCAATCCCCTCCTCTCCCGTTCCCCATGCAATACTTCTATGTTTTCCCCTTCCCATAAGTTTTCCCAGCCCTTTTCAGGGCGTTTTATAGAGGCTTCATTTCTCAAATTTGATTGATAAAGCCATTGTCTTTGGCTGTTGAACTTACATTAGGGGTCAGGGAGTCATCACACGTTCAAACTATCTAACCACGTGCATGTATCCTTGTCAGACAGCACCCAACCTGAAGACACCTTGTAAGTATGAAGTTGGGTGTGGTTGCAATATAATCAGCACAGACACTTATCTCCCAGGAAGACCCAATAGAGGTTAGCTCTAGGCCAGGAACCAGGAACAAAACCAAATCCGGTTTTTTCCACTTCAGACATACGAACATGGGTAAATGGTGAATATTCTCCCCCTTAAGTTTTTTTTATTAGCAATGAGTATTGTTTTACAACGTTATTGAAAGGATAATGTTCTCAGTACATACTGGTTATGTTTTATAGCTAATAAAGAGCCTGGAATTATTAGTCAAAAGCTTGAAGAATAGAATTAGAAATGGAGGTATTTATGATGTGAGAGTTGGAAACATAGCAGACTTCAAAGTGACAGAAATAGGCATTACTTAGCCAGTCCATTTTCATGACACAATGAAAGCATGTGTGGATATGAATGTGTATACATGTGTGCTTGTATGTCTGTGAGAGAGAAAGCATGATTTTCAAGTCATATGATAAACATATAATAAAACACCATTTTGTTATCTGGAAAGAAAATCTGCACAGGAATGTCTTAACAGCCACATGTTTGAAGAAACCCACGAGGAAATACTTCATTTTCCTTTTTGCCTCAGAATTTAGTATGTGTTGCTGTAATATGGTTCCAAGTGGGAGGGGGGAGTGATACAGAGTGAGCAAGAGAGAAGAAACACGTGGCGAAAGAGTTGGGTTAT